TACAAATTATAATGGACAGACGGACGGACGGACGGACACACATGTCTAGATCGACTCAGCTAGTCGAGATATGACGATCGGTATACTTAAAGGTGGGTCTAGGACCAATATTTCGCGGCGTTACAAACATTTGGGGCTGCACAAAGCTATAATACCCTGACAACATAGTTGTGTAGGGTATAATGAACTGAAGTCAGTAACAATATTTTTATTATAGATAATTTTGTGTTGTCATGGAAGGTCAAATGATGCTGTTGACATCCAATCGGTCAACAGAGTGCAAATATCACGAAATATTACCCAGGCTCGTAATATAGATCCGCAGAAACTGTGTGGTAGTCTTATAGGGTATTATATGTATTTTTCTCATACGCTCTAAACTATTTTTAAATACTTCTTCCACTCCGATTGAGAGACCCTTCCTCAAAACATGGTAACTGCAAGCTTTAATAGCATCTTCTGGCGACGAAAAACGTTCTGAAAAAGGTTTCCACTTAAGGTATTTAGAATATTCTTCTTTGCTAATTAACATGACTAATGTGATAAAGAAGTGAATGTTTTCCATTCATTTTTTTTAGAAAAAGTTGTTGGATTTTTTAGTAATTGTGGCGCCATTCTACTATTTTGGGATGCATTGATAAATGATTGTGTCCACACATACATAATCTTTGCTATTGGTGTATTTTATTATTTATTATACCCTTTACAGTACTACAAAACGTGCTTAAGGGAATCTCCCCCATTCTCGATTTTAAAATTTCAAGATTTTTATTGGGTTGGTAAATGAATACCAATGCATGTAAAGATTTGTAACTTTACGCATATATAATTGAAGATTTAAAAGAAGAAAGAAGAAACCAAAATTGCACAATTTGGTTGTTCTGGTCTTTAGTGATTAAAGTCCTTATTTTTGATGGCGGCGCATCGGAATTCGGAAATACCAAGGGTGCTAGAAGGAGTACATGTCTGGCTCTCGTATGAAATAGAATTATTGACTTCGCTCAAGTATTAACAAAATGGCAGACCTTTGAAAAAATTGTTTTCAAAATTCGACTATTTTTGACCCAACTAACACTACTTCGAGAAAAATAGGTTTATCGGCTATATATTCAAGAGTTCTTGAGATTTTCACTTGAAATTTTGTAGGGACATCCTTGAACTTGTGTAGAATTAAATCAAAAAACTAAATGAATTTTTTTGACACCGAAAATGGGGGTTCCCCGTAATGCACCATATGAAAGGATATTCGTTGTTCTTATTACCAGTAAACATAATCCTGTAATGTAGTATACATCATGATTGATATGAACACGAAAGTCACAACAAATAACAACATATCGTAAATAATGACAATAAAATAATAGTCGTAGGAATTGTTAAACGAAAAGGGAATACAAAAAGGAGTAAAAAAGACGTAGACAGGCGGAAATTCATATATATTTCACCGTAGAAATACTGACTTGAAATAAAGTTTCCAATCTTAAATGGAAATTTACTACAGCGAATAATTTGTCTAAAATGAAGATTTGCGATCCAGTTAGAAAATCCATTTTAAACTATATTATAAATAAAACCAGTGAGCGGAGCAGTATAGTCGGACGGGGCCGACCATGCGATACCCTACACAACTACCACGAACTCTAACTTTCTGAGGATGTTTATTCCGAGTCTGAGTAATATTTCGTGATATTTGCCCCCTCTTGTCCGATTAGAGGTTAACAACACCTCTTCCTTACTTTTTTCGAATATTCAGTACAGTCCTTCTAATTACTTGTCCAGATTACCTTCACGGTGGGTTGTGTTGTGATTTTCGGATTATACTCTACTCGAAAACACACAAAAAATTATGTTTTCGGTCCATTTCATCCCAAAATTTTAATCTGATCATCACCGAAAATTATAGGCGTTGTTCTTGACCATAACTGGAACTTCATGAAAAATTTCAAAGCCATCAGCGCGATATTTCTCCCTCTAATGTGGTAATGGGTTACTGAATAATATCTGAATACGTAAGCACCTGTAAATATTTGACTGTAACTCCCACATCTGAGTAGATACATCACTATATTTGGTATCAATTTAAAGGCCAACCACTCCTCTTGGATGTGCTATCAACTCCTGGGGTCTACATCCTCCAGGAGTAAATATATATGCCATAGAATACAAATTTTGTCATTTTTCACACAAAAGTCAGGGTCCATTTGACCCGCTAAATATTGACCGATCTTTATCAAAACATGCATGCTTATTCTCTGGCCCGATCCCCTTCTCCATGCAAAAATTCGCGGTGTTTGGGCCATAATTGTGGCCTCTGGAGGGACCAGAAAAACCGACAAAAATTTAGTATTTGGTCCATTTCATCCCCTAAATATTAACCGATCTTTTCCAAAAACAATAGGGGTCTTCATTGGCCAGAACCCATCCTACATGCAAAATTTCGTGAAGATTGGTCCATAACTGTGGCCTGTATCGTGTTTACAAATTATAATGGACAGACGGACGGACGGACGGACGGACACACATGTCTAGATCGACTCAGCTAGTCGAGATATGACGATCGGTATACTTAAAGGTGGGTCTAGGACCAATATTTCGCGGCGTTACAAACATTTGGGGCTGCACAAAGCTATAATACCCTGACAACATAGTTGTGTAGGGTATAAAAAGTAAAAATAATAAATTGCGGACAAGTTTATAATTCTGGAAATCGGAAGGTTCTGTTATATGGGAGCTATGTTGAAAGAAAAAATATAGAACTTGTCCACAAATAAGACAAACGATAGTTTGGTTCCTCCATTCCTTTGGAAGTTAGATCCATTGTATGACCGCAAATAAAAATCATTGATCTATATTGAACAAATTCTGAGAAGCAGAATCAGTCGTGTATTCAACAGAAGTCCAGAATGCAAAATTACAGCCACTTATGTGACTTTTCAAGGTTTTGGAGATTGGATGGTTTTCGAAATAATCATTATAGGTCGATTTTTGAAATATCACCCATATAAAGCCACGCCCAATTTTTTGTGTTTTGAGGGAATGCCGAAAAGCCTGTATTTTCGGGGTTTAGAAAGCTTTCATTCCATGTTTGATATAACTCCTATATAGATGTCCCGCCCAATTTTCGATGTTTTAACCGCATCATCCAACTACAATGACCGTAACTTCGTATCTCGTGTTTGGAGAACCTGGTATTTCTATATAGACAATTATTATACATCCATGGTTTTAACATAGCCCCCATGTACAGCTCCTGCTCAATTTTCGGTACTTTTAGCCGCATTTTTCAAACGAAAAGACTGCAATTATACTTTACATGACTATTATTACTATTAAAGCTCCGTGTGTGTAACGCCACAAAATATTGCCCATAGACCCATCCTTTAGTCGTCATAACTCGACTAGCTGAGTCTATGTAGGGCAGGTTCTAGAAAAAAATGGTAATAATCGGTCAATGAAATAGCCAAAAAAAATTCCTTTTTTGGTTTTGACCGGAACATATCGACATTTTACACAGAGAAAGGGGTCTGACTTTAGAGCAAGACTGGTTTGGCGAAGATCGGTCCATATTTATCTTGTCAAATAATCTCTGACTTTTGTGTGAAAAAATACAAAACTTGTATTTCATGGCGTATATATTTTCTCCTAAAGGACGTAGACCGGAGAAGTAGATAGTATATCCAAGGGTAGTGAATTTTACTTAAATACTCACAGCAGTCTATGTATTCTGATATTGTTTTGCATTGCCATTACCACACTAGAGGACGGGAATGTAGCGCTGATGGCTAGGAAATTTTGAATGAGGTTCCTGTTATAGTCAAGTACAACACCTATAATTTTCGATGATGATCAGATTTTCTGAACTGTGCTTAAAACTTTTGTTTTTGTTCGGTTATCTAGTCGCTATACACGCCACAATTATAAGCCGAACATCACAAATTTTCCATGGGGAAGGCGATCTGGTAAACTATTTTGAATGGTTTAATTATCACTGAATTGTCAATATTTAACGGGTTAAATGAACCAACATTTTTTTTGTAAAATAACAAAATATGAATCTTAGCAATTGTTTACACCGGAAAAACATAAGTCGGAAAAGATGCCGCAGAGAAGCTGTTGACTTCCAATCAGTCATGAGAGTGCAAAGATCGCGACATATTAAACATACTCGGAATATAGATATGCAGAAACTTAGGGTATCATATGGTCGGCCCGTCCGACTATATTGCTCAGCTTACTGGCTTGATATTTGCGATGAAAGAATATACTTTTCCACACAAAATGAATCGAATAGGGTTGGATGACACGTAAAATTTATTTTCTATCGGATTTATCCTTAGGGCAAACAAATGAGCTGTGTCAAATGTAAATCGAAAATTATTTTATTGTAAATGTTTTCAAATATTCTATTGTAAATTATACTACTCTTCAATGCACTGAATGATTGTGGAGAGGCAACACACAACACACAGTTATCCTTACAAATATTCCAAAGCTTCTTCTATTTCGGGATATTGCACGCATCTTTAGAACTACTCCTTTGGTCCATTATAACAGTTTTTCGCTGAATGTTCCATAACTACAATTTACATAATATCCTCGATATATCCTCTTAAATAGAATAAAACGTCTTCATTCATATATGAAGAATATTAACTTTAAATACGTTTAAGTGAATGCATTTGGTCAATTAAGCCATAAAGTGGTACTATTTAGTAGAAGTGAACGTTTTTTTCGCTTTTACATAGTGCAATAAATTTTTTTTTCGATTGCCCAGACATCATGATATCATTCATTTTAATTGCCATGATATTCCATTAAAAATTCTAGCAATATATTTAATGAATATTCTAATGACTTCATTAACAATTTATTTCCAATAACTTCTACAATTTTGTCACAATTTCTGAAAATCATATAAAAAGTGAAAGGGTTTTCGAATTGGTATCATTCAACCTTAGACATCACAGCGAGTCGAATATCAAAAGAAGAAAACAACGAAGATGCGTTGCTTCATTGTATTGTGTTTGGTAGCTGCTGCCTGTGCTCAATCTGGCTATAATTATCAAGCTGGTAGCAGTGGTGGTAATATCGGTGCTGCCTCTAATACTGTTCCTTCATTTGATGTAGGCTCCTCGACTGGTGCTGTTCCCTCATTTGCTTCTACCGGTGCTGAATATGGTCCCTCGGAAAATATTGGTGCTGCATCTAATACCGCCCCCGTTCAAACTGAACTTGAAAAGGAATTCTACACTTTTACTGCCAACGATGAAGACTTCAATGAACCCGCTGCCTCCAACCAGCTCGTTAATGCTATGAAACAAGCTCTTCGTGTTATTTTCATTAAGGGCCCTGAAAATAATGGTTTGGAAGATGCTGCTCTCGCCTTGACCAAACAAGCTGCTGAACAACAAACCGCCATCTATGTTCTTCATAAACAAGCTGATCTCTCAGAATTGGCCAACAAATTGCAGAATAATAATGAAAATGTCAATCACAAACCTGAAGTACATTTTGTTAAGTATCGTACTCCTGAAGATGCTGTCAATGCTCAAAAAGCCATCCAAGATCAATACGATTCCTTGGGTGGTAAAACTCAACATTTTGATGGTGGTGTTGCTCCAGCTTTGAATTTTGCCTCACAAGCTCCAGTTGCACCATCTGAACCAGCTGTTGCCGCTGCTTCAAATCCTGCCACCAGTGCTACTTATCTTCCAGCCTCTGTGTTGCGTCGTTTCCGTTTGTAAACTCATATGAAATTTCGGACTTATGTGACAGACTGACTATATGGACATATTTTATACCAAAAATTAATAAATGATAGAAAAAACATTACTTATATCGACGTTCTATTTGGGTAAAATCAAGGAAATATTGTGGTGGGAATGGTATTTTATCCGAAATTCTTTATGTGGAAAAAAATGGATTACCACTGATCATCCATCTCTGGTTACTCCCCTTTGCAGCTTAGGTCTTTCACAAATCATGTTCATCTTAATCGATTAGTTCTTGTGTTAGTTTCGTTAATCATTGTTCATATTCCAGTAAAGTAGATTATTGGTCTACTGTAGCCAATCCTAGATGGTGCTGCCATCTAGCGATGATTAGAAACAACGCCTCCCTACATTTTGTGCAGTGGTTAGTGGTCCTTAGTTATTTAGTGTTGCCATATGTATCCTCATGTGTTGATTAGAATGTAAGGTGATTTCAAACGAATCTTATATTGTGGAAAGGATGTCTTCAGATGAATTTCATCTAGAGGAAGGGATGGGGTGTGAGAAATACACTATAGAATTATTGTTCCTGCTCCAAATCCGGGACCCATAGGTTTGCATTCTGACACACAATCCATTGCACTTTCAAATTTTTTCAGCTCACCGAATTGTGTTGAAGTGTGTCAAAATTGGATTCCATCGAATGCATATATTGTTAATATATATGAGCCACTATTAATTTACGAGAGCTATATATATATATATATATGGGTAATTACAAAATTCTTTTAAAATTCCATTAAAAAAATTTGAAAAATTTTTTTGCGAGCACATTCATGGTTTTTGGTACATAGGTTAAGAAAAATATGCTGATTCGAAATCTGTTCGCGTTCACAAATTCGGATGCTGCACACAAAAGCTATAGCGGTTTTAAATCTTGTATTTTAAATATAAATTAAATGAATTCCTATTTCTTGTAATTCGCGAATTTCTTCACAAATGAATAAACACATTTGTTTTCTTTGCTTACTTGTCAAACCACATTGAAATGCCGTTTAATAGTCGCGAAAAACAAATACAAGCATTAAAAAATCTCAAAATAAAATAAATTAATTTTTCAATTGCCACAAAATGTTTTCTTCGAATTTTTGATTTTTCGGTATGGTTAAGGGAATACGGCTTTGGTTAGATCTTCTAAAACATGTGACGATTTCTTCTACAAATTCTTTTAGATGATTGTTAAATATCGTTATATTCCTCTGTTCAGAGTTTTGACTTTAAAAATGACCAAATGTATTGCAGTTACAGCATATGAAAATGATCAACATTATAAAGCATACAGTTCGCGTATTCGTTGAAATCAGTCGATGCGCATGCGGTTTTCGTATAAGTCGAATCAATCTCTTCCACTAATTATGCATTTTTCGAGGTTTCATTTAGCGGCCAAAGTGTGCCGCTCGATGCACTTTACTATGCAAAAATCATAAAAATGACTAAAAATGACGCAACATGCATAAGATTTTTATGCGCATCAGATTTCTTTAATCTCTAATGAAAATACACAAAAGGACACCTATTTTAAAAAGATCGGTTAAGATCCGCGGATGTGCCTCCACAATCGATTTTGGATAAAATACGCATATTATTCGCGTATCGATATATTTTTTACCTATTTTCACACAGATTCGCGAATATGATAACACAAGAATGAATGTATGTGAAATCAATTCGAAGAAAAACGCGATTATATACGCGAATTAGTCAAAATAAGATTTTGCAGTTTTTCCTACTTTCAAGGTACCTATATCCGCCGTTTTATTGTGTGGAATTGAATATGGATGGGCTCATTAGATCCGTCACGTAAAAAAACTAAAATCAAAAAATCAAAAAATATGTTTTTTATAAAAATTTACGCACCAAATTTTCGTCTTTGGAACCCAATTACAAAGATCCCACGGTGAGCACATTCATGAGATATACACTAAACGAAGCAAAATCACGAGTTTTACAATCCTATAATTAGTTTAGTCCATTATCTGGATGCGCGTCTTAATTATAAGAAAAATTCAAAAAACACCGAAAATCCGGCTTCAAAATGTCAGCATCCATTTTGGGTGGATGCAGTGATTATATCGAAAAATCATACATTAGAACCATATTGTCCATGGGGTATTCTGCAACTTAGGCACTGATCATATGTGCATGCGTTGTGTAGTTTAGCCACAAATCAGGAACGAACACAAAAAAACTCGTTGGCTTCAACCCTTTTTTACTCATTTTTCTACATTACCACCATCACAGCTTCCACGCAACTTATTATTTATTACCCATATTCTAAGATTTTGACAAGAACACTTCATTTTATAGAAATGAATTTAAATTATATGCAACATGTTCATATTTCGCGAGTTATAAGCTCCCAAACCTCAGCTTCAAGGAATTTAAAAGATTTTTGTAATTCCCCATATATATATTGCTGGACTAATGTGAATATTAATCAAGAAAAATGGTTTTAATGTTTTTTTCGGAATAAACTGGATCTAAAGAACTATTCCACTATCAGTACTAACGTAAGTCCGGTTCTTTCTTTTCCTTTTGCGGAGCAGAACGAAAAAAATCGAACCGCTGGATGAGCGAAATTGCCCAACTCTATTTTTCCAAAGAATTCTCCAGCATGATTTGTAATATTATTCATGCCCTCAAATCAATTGTCAAAGCACTGTTTCCACTCCGATTGAGAAACCTCTAGAATGTGGTTTTCGAACGATGCAGCAGTTTTTGCCCAGAGATATGATATATAAAGTGCACGTTTCGGACGGTTTGGGCCGAAGTGTAAGCGCCCGCATTGTCGTAGGACACAATGATTCTTCTCCTATTTCTCGTCTTTCGGATTTCCCTATGTTATTAAGGAAACAAATTGCATTTGACTATTCTTCGAAGACCCCCCTTCCTTCCATTTCACTCCATTCCCTCCCTTCATTCCATTTAAAACACCTCGAAATATTCGCCTGATACCCCAGTGGTTTTATATATTCTTGATCATAATAAAATTCTATGTCGATTTAGACCTGTCCGTCTGTCTGTTGGGTATTGAAAATGGATGGTATCGGTCCACTTTATGGTAAAGCCAAGATATGGTATTTACCGCGTTTGGTATTGAAAATGGGGGGTATCGGTCCAATTTATGGTATAGCCTAGAGATGGTATTTACCGGGTAAATACCCAAGGGGTGAGTAAATGCCCATATGGTATTTATTTGGGTATTTACTATATTGAATTCGTAATACAACATCTTACACCCTATTCCGGATTTCTGTTATAAAATAAATTAAGAATGGATAGTTTTCAGATACTTTAAAGACTATGGTATAAATATCTGAGTATTTGCCCAAAAATTGGGTATACTCATTAACTAGCGAAGCACTTGACATAGACGGCAAAAATTTGGCTCATATGTTTTCAATGTCAAAGCGAATATTGCTATGGAAAATAGTGTCTCTGGGTTCAAATTTTGATATTGTCCACATAACCGATTTATGGTATTTTTTAGTATGTTATTAGCCACATTTTACGGTCTATGGGTACCAAATATCCATGCAAATATTTACCAAGTTTTCTGGTAGCCCCCACGCAAACGTACCACTATTTTGAGTATTTACCCAAAAATTGGATATAAACTAATTAACTGGCGAACCACTTGACATAAGCGGCCAACATTTAGCTCAGATGGTTCTTATATGAATACAACTACTGGTATGGGAAATTGGGTCTTTGGTCCAAGTTTTGATATAGACCCAATATAACCGTACCTCCCGATTTAGGGTATTTTTTGTTTTTTAGACACATTTTACTATCAAATTGACTGTATTTTGGCACAAAGAGTTCTATATGGGTACCAAATATCCATGCAAAAATTTAAACATTAGTCAATATAGCGGCGCCTTCAAAATTCCGGTATTTTGGGGAGTATGAACAATTTTCTCCAGCAAATTGACTGTCATTTGGTATATTTGATTTTCATTGGGTTACACATCTTCCTACCCAAAATTATTAATATTGGTCGACTTTTTGCGATAGACCTCATATTACGGTACCCCCAAAATTTCGGCATTTTGTTGAGTATTGAGTATTCGTCTTGCAAACGAATTGCCTGTAATTTAGTATTTTGAAATCAAATTGAGTAGAAGTAGAGTTCCTACCAAAAATGTTTACTATTAGTCCAATATTTATGATAACCCCCATATAACGTTACTTCACATATTGTGGTGTTTTGGACTCTATATAACGGTACCGGCTATTTTTCGTTATTTTCACTTTTATGGGAGCCCCTACAATATGTTATAATGTTACCTTCATAAGTTCGGTACTTTTGGGTACGATCTTTCAATAAATTTTTGAACTAAATATTTTGAATGTCCACCTTACGGTACAGGTATAAAAAAAATCGGCCCGACCGAATATGACGACTGTTGAGTGCAGGTTCATGATTTGATTTTCTAATCGATATGGCCTTCTTCGCTGAAAATTTTTAAAATATGTTCAGGTAAAGCCCAATTTCTGAACGCCGAAGATCCTAACCAAATTTATCAAGCTGAGATTTGGTCTATAAAAAGGCATAGACCCCATACATTATGAAATGTAAAAAACACCTGTCTAAACATTATGTGGTGGGGTAAATAATAAATTTGATATTCCGTTTGAAAACCCTCAAAATATTCGTCGGAGATAATAAATTGCCATAGAGATCACAATATTTAGGAGAGTGCTTTGGAATTTTGCATATACATTGCTATCACTCATAGGACGATTGATATTACACAGATATGTTCCAGTCAAAGATTTGGTTTTTCATAACTCACATACAAAAGTTCTCTCGTATTTTGAAGGTTTTTGCGGCATTTTACAGACAAATTTCGAAGTAGGTCTATAATTTGACATATCTACTTTATACAGGTTCCGCCCGATTATAGATTATAGATATATAGGCCAAATTTTACCAACGAAGTAGCTGTAATTTTCCCGGTATTTGGAGGATGATAAAAATATTTGCCCAAGCATTTTCCAACCAAAGGAGGTGTATTCAAGCATGCAGCATTCTTGTTGGATATATGATATAATCCCATAATATTTTCGATAAATAACCCTTCAAAGGAATTTTCGTATCATAAAGCTACCAGCCCATCTTTAAATCAATAATGTAAACAAACTACTTACAGCCAACATCCAATACCATAGTCCTTATATAAAGGTATCGCGGATAATTTATTGTTTTGGCCTGCTAAAAAAACTATAGTAGCCATCTAGTTCAAACACGTGACAACCACTCAGCTCTCTTTAATATGCCTTTTACCACTTTGTTGAGTCATCTAGACAAATTGATTTAAAAACCGGACAACAGGGTGCAACTATCGTATGGTCGGCCCGTCGGACTATAATGCCCGGCTCACTGGTTTTTAATACCTTTAGCTATTTTTTTTTTAATTTAGTACTATTATTTTTAATTAATTTGCATATATTTTGATATTGTAGCAAATGGTTTAAGATTTTGGCCAAAAGCATAATATAATAATATAAAATAAAGCATAAATAAAAACACACACTTAAAAATCCATTTGTCCCAAAATTTACTGAATCTGATCATCACCGAAAAATTGTAGGCGTTGTTCTTGACCATAACTGGAATTTGAAAAATTTCAAAGCCATCAGCGCGATATTTGGACCTTTAATGTGGTAATGGAGTAAAATAATATCTGTGTAAGCACATGTAAATATTTGACTGTAACTCCCACATCTGAGTAGATACATCACTATATTTGGTATCAATTTAAATCAACCATCTCCTCTTGATATGTCTACATCGTCCGAAGTAAATATATATGCCATATAATACAAATTTTGTCATTTTTCACACAAAAGTCAGGGTCCATTTGTCCCGCTAAATATTGACCGATCTTTATCAAAACATGCACGCTTATTCTCTGACCCGATCCCCTTCTCCATGCAAATATTCGCAGTGTTTGGGCCATAATTGCGGCCTCTGGAGCGACCAGAAAAATCGACAAAAATTTAGTATTTGGTCCATTTCATCCCTTAAATATTAACCGATCTTTTAAGGGGCTCATTAGAACCCATTGCAAAATAAAGATTGGTCCATAACTGTGGCCTGTATCGTGTTTACAAATTATAATGGACAGACGGACGGACGGACACACATGTCTAGATCGACTCAGCTAGTCGAGATATGACGATCGGTATACTTAAATATGACCTATATTTCGCGGCGTTCCAAACATTTGGGGCTGCACAAAGCTATAATACCCTGACAACATAGTTGTGTAGGGTATAAAAAATCCATAAATTAAAATTAATAAAACACTTAATGTCTCTCACGTGTTAATAAAATTGATGTCTTTAAAAAAATCGTAAATCACATTATACACCCACCCATTCGGTCAATAGCATCAGGAAATTCAATTGAATGCAGGAAATAAGGTCAACTAAATTATCGAAAGCCAAAAAATATGCAAAATATTAATCAAACATCTTTTTAGATACGGCTTAAACGAATGAGATGATAAAATAAAATTCAAAAACTTAACTAAAATCCGATGCATAGGCAATTAATGAATATTTCATTAGATGACAAAATATCAGCATATCACTAATCCGTGATGCAGTACGTTTACCGCGTGAATGTATAAAAATAAATCTACGGCCAACTGTTTAATCATTCTAGTTTTATAACTTAATCGAATAACAATATCATCTGGTCGAAGAAGACGAAGACAAAGAAGATGCGTGGCTTTATTTTATTGTGTTTGGTAGCTGCTGCCTGTGCCCAATCGGGTTATAATTATCAGGCTGGTATCAGTGGTGGTAATATTGGTGCTGCCTCTAATGTTGCACCATCTTATTATGGTTCTGGCTCCTATGGTGCTGGTTCCGTAGCTGCTGGTCCCGTTTCGTTTGGTAGCTCTGGTGCCGAATATAGTCCATCCGAAAATGTTGGTGCTTCATCGAACATTGCACCCGCCCAAGCTGAATTGGAAAAGGAATTCTACACCTTCAGCGCCAATGATGATGATTTCGTTAAACCCGCCAGCTCAAATCAATATGCCAACTCCTTGAAACAAGGTCTCCGTGTTATCTTCATTAAGGGCCCCGAACATAATGGTTTGGAAGATGCTGCTCTTGCCTTGGCCAAACAAGCTGCTGAACAACAGACCGCCATCTATGTTCTCAACAAACAAGCTGATCTCTCCGATTTGGCAAACAAGCTGAACACTTTGAACAACAATGTCAATCACAAACCCGAAGTTCACTTTGTCAAATACCGCACTCCTGAAGATGCTGCCAATGCCCAAAAGGCTATTCAAGATCAATACAACTCCTTGGGTGGCACAAGCCAGACTTTCAATGGTGGTGTTGCTCCAGCCTTGAACTTTGCCTCTAAAGCTCCAGTTGCACCAGTCAGTGCTGCTTCCAGCCCTGCTGCCACAAGTGCCACTTATCTTCCCGCTTCCGTTGTTCGTCGTTTCCGTTTGTAAAGAAGTAGATGAGTGAGATAGGGAATAAATTTGTTATTGTTATTACGATTAAATCGAAATAAATTATTTAAAAACAAATGGAAGTATTTATTACTTAGCGGAAGTGTATTCCAGGAAAATGCCATGGAAATGTGATATAAGCATATTCTTCATCACTTATATAGACATACATCCGTCTGATGTTATCTTCCGAAAAATGTCACAACTATCTCATATTTAAGTATAGACTACATATTACTTTAAGTACGTTGCAAGGAGTAGACATATACCAAAAGCGTATGTCAGTTTGACTTCCTATACCGCTTTAGCGTTTTAAATTCTAATTCTAGACATGCATATTAACCCACCTTTACCAAAAACTAATGATGTCGACTTGCGTCCATAACACTGACCTGTACTTCGATTGCAACTTATGGACACAAGCTACTTCATATATGTCGATCGGTATACCTAATGGTGGGTTCAGGACTAATAAATATATCGTGGTGCTAAAGACTACTGCGACCACACAAACTTACAATAGCATCAGTATATTTAACGGTTTCTTCATAATTTGGTCCCACGGATTCTTGAAGGGCGAACTACATTTGCAGAACAATTTATATATAGGTCCATATTTAGACACAACCCCCATTTAATGCAGTTTAAAAATTTCAGCTGTATTTATTCCATCAAAGTGAAAGGATTTTAGAATTCCGGTTTCATAAAGCTTATAAAACATATTCCCAGAAAATAAACCAGTAAGGAAAGTAGTAAAGTCGGGCTGGACCGACAATATTATACCCTTCACCACTTTGGGTATATTCTACATTTAATCTCAACCAGACATCCGTTTGAAATACATATGAAAGCTGTGTCTGCATCTGCACCACCATTTACATTAAATCCGACGAAATTATATATGGAAGCTATATCTAAATCTGAACCGATTTTCAGGAAACTTGAAACACATCGTTCGACACTTAACTCAGTACGCTTTGCTAAATTTCGTGCAAATCGAAAGATATATAGAGACTTTGGTGCACCATTTATATTAAATCGGACGAAAATATATATGGGAGCTATATCTAAATCTGATCCTATTTTTCCCAAATTCAATAGGGTTCGTCCTTGGGCCAAATAGATGAGCTGTGGCAAATTTCATCCAATTCAGATCATAAATGCGACATGTACTTTGTTTGCAATTTTACATCAACCGACGGACGAAAGGACGGACATGCAAAAATCGATTCAGAAAGTGATTCTATGCATATCCTCAAATGAACCATGTGTCTATCTCGTTTCCTTTTGCCTGTTACAAACATATGCACAAAAACATAATACCCTGTACCACAGTGTGGTGAAGGGTATAAAAAGAAACCCATTATTTTTATATGCACTACAGTATTTTTCGGTTAATTGACCCTACGGTTAATTGGTTTCCACGCTTAATTGAAGCACATGATGGTTCAAAAATATTTCATTTCGTAGTAAGCGGGTTCGGATAATTGGTTCCTCGGTTAATTGAACAAAAATTTGTGCAAATTTTGATGTGCAATTAACCGAAAAATACTGTATAGGACTTTATTTAACATGCTTCGGAATGTCCGATTTGGGCCAGATATGCACCGTTTTGTTGTATGATTTGTTGCCATTTTAAAAGTAACTTCATAATGCCTTTCTCATAGAAGTTCTGCTCTCTATTTGCAAACAACTCTTGTAGTCCATTTTCACAGTTACCAATATTTATACCCTTCACCACACTGTGGCACATTTGTGCTTATGTTTGTAACAGGCAAAAGGAATCGAGATAGGCCCATGGTTCCTTTTGAGAATATGCATATAATCACTTTCTAAGTCGATTTACGCATGTCCGTCCCGCCGTCCATGTATTTTTGTGAACAAAGTGCAGTTCGCATTTATGATCCGATTTGGAAGAAATTTGGCACAGCTCCTTTATTTGGCTCAAGGAGAACCCTATTGAAATTGGAGAAAATCGAATCAGATTTAGATGTAGCTTTGATATATAGTTTCGTCCGATTTTTTTTAAATGGTGCATTAAACCTCCAATATTGGTCCGATTGAGACAACAATTTGCACAGAGTACTGTATTAGGTCCAGATTGATGTATGCGTAGTCTTTTTTGAAATCGGTTCAGATTTAAATGTATCGTATATATAGGTTCGTTCGATTTTATGTAAATGGAGCACCATACTCCCAATATTGGCCCGATTTAAACAAAGTTTTGCACAGAGTACTGAATTAGGTCCAGAATAATGTATGCGAAGTTTTGTTGAAATCGGTTCAGATTTAAATGTAGCTCTCATATATAGGTTTGTTCGATTTTTTGTAAATGGAGCACCATACTGCCAATATTGGTCTGATTGAGACAACATTTTGCCCAGAGTACTGTATTAGGTCCATATTGAGGTATACGAAGTTTTATTGATATCGGTTCAGATTTAGATATAGCTCCAATATATTATTTCGTCCAATTTTATGTAAATGGAGCACTATACAGTCAATGTTTTCCGATTGAAACAAAATTTTGCATACCGTATGGAAATTACAAGTTCAAATATCTATAAAATATCTTCACGTAGTTAATTTTGACCGATTTAATTTCGATTTATTAAAGGATATGTACATATCCCCGTATGCACTATAGGTCAAATGACCGGTTTTTCTGTGCAAAATTGAAAAAAATCAAAGTGTCGTTCTTCACGAGTTGTTGTTGTTTTTGAATTTAGAGCAGTCGAAAATAGAGACACGTGATATTTATTAGTGCTAAATATAAAGTACCGTTACACAGCTGGCCGTGCAAGTCGCTCAATACAATTTATTCTATAAATATGCTTATATTTCTGTGGGGCTTAGTCAACTTTGAGTGTGTATTATTTCGATTGTGTTTACAATAATTAATTAGTGTAAAATGGAAAATATAGATACAAGTGAGCATATTTATATTAAATCAAAACATTTTTATGTTTGTGACACTATACTTGAAAATAACCCTTTAGTCTATGAAGACTTTAAAAAGTTAAAGTAATTTGATAGATTGAATTTCAGTAAGCTATTAAAAAAAATGACCCAATATGACCTCTTTGAAATTTTGCACATTAATTAAGTGATTAGTAATGAGTTAATTTAAGTTTATTTCAAGTTGCGATTTTTTGCGTTTTGCGAGTAATGCATCTTTTATCTAGGCAACCTCCGTATAAAAAATCGAACTTTTTGAAATATGGCGAAAAGAAGGTAACAAAAAGAAAAAAATATGTTGCTGTTTTCAAACATGTAGTGAGCAAAATTGATGTCGACAACATTTCGGATGAAAGAGAGAAATTTTTAAAGCAAATAGTACATTTATTTTGCTTAAAATTAGCGCAAAATTTGGAAAAATGTCACAGAAAGATGGATGTTTTCAAAGACAACCAGTAAGAAAGATCAAAAGTCAGACTGGGCCGACTATGTGATACCCTTTACTACATTGGGTACAAACAAAAAATGATAATGTGTACAATATCCTGTTGATACAAGAGACATACCATCTTTGGATGACCATTAACTTGAAATCGGGTAAAAAACAAATGTGATCTACATAGATATTTGAGCCAATAAAAACCATACACATGACATTCTGAAATCTATAAGAAAATTGCATGTCAACCGCATAAATATTGAAAGTTTGGCGAACCATTTACCTAAAATCTCAATATCGACCGATTTCAAGGAAACTTCATAGATGACAAACTGAATTCAGCACGCTGTGCAAAATTTCGGACGAATCTATATATGGGAGCTATATCTAAATCAGAACCGATTCCAACAAAACTTCGCATACATCAGTCTGGACATAATTCAATACTCTGTGTAAAATTTTGTCTCAATCGGACCAATATTGGCAGTATGGTACTCTATTTACATAAAATCGGACGAAACTATATATGGGAGCTATATCTAAATCTGAACCGATTTCAACAAAACTTGACACATATCAATCTAGACCTAATTCAATACACTGTGCAATTTTTTTTCTAAATCGGACTAATATTGGCAGTATGTTGCACCATTTACATAAAATCAGACGACAAGTAACACAAAAAAATAAGCTGGGCTAAATTTCATGACGAATACTATGATTTTGTTGCCGCTATTAATTTTGCACAGAAAAAGTGGTCATTTGACCTATAGTGGTATGTACGCAAATAGTGAAGGGTATCATATAGTAGGCGCCGACCGAAATTTTGCAATGCAAGGAAAATATGATCATCGCTTTGTGCCAAGTCCGGTCTGTATGGCGGATGTATTAAAACTTCCCAACCAAGCTCTCGAAGTTTCTGACGAGTCAATGTAGATGTGTGTGGCCTATCGTTATCCTGGTGGAACAATATATCACTTCTGTTGGCCAATTTTGGCCGTTTCTGGTCAATTGTGAATCTTTTAAAACAGTTTTATGGTCGATTTTAAGCTCCTGCCCGATGTTACGTCTTCTAACATGCTGATCAACTTAGATCATTTCTCCAATTTTATCGACATATTCGACGACCGGCCTACCTGTGCGATGTACATCTTTAACCTCAGAAATTCCTAAACGGAATCTACGAAACCAAAATTGCACATAATTGTCAGTTTTGCCGCTTGGCTTGTATTTTCGCCTTTATCAAAGAAAAATTGGTAAATGTACCGAATTTTCCCTATGTTCAATTTTTAACACCCTTTAACTCACAACTGAATGCGCCAAAGAAAAATCTGCAAAATACTTTTTTTACTGCGAAATGTCACCCTTCCAACGAGCATAAATCTAAAATTGTTTGATCGATACTTTACGATAAATCTATCAGTATATCCAGTTTTTAACGAGATTTTCGACCGAATTCTATGTATTTTAGTATTTAGGATATACCAACATAATAATATTTTTTAATACAAATATTTCGTAAGTCGCTGACAAAAAAATAATAGGTCCTTTTAAACGTTTTTCTTCATATCGTCCAATATGAGAATTATCGATTGATTTCTAGCAATATCGACCTTATTCTGCTATTTATATTTTATTTCTTCATTGAGATGAGATATTTTAAATGCCATAAAATCTCATATCGAATACATTATTTATGCAGCATTCAACCGACCAATCGTAATATCTTTTGAACGACAATATGTCCAATGCTTGTCTTGGTTTATTGTCTTAACATTATTTAACATTAATAATGGAATGTTTAAATATTTTAACACTTTAGCTGTTTGCTAAGCATCAGTATATGGTGATGCTTAGCGATGATCAAAATATCCGGAAATCCATAAAACTGATTTGAATGTGCAGGAAATCAGCATCGGCCAATAAAAATGCAAAATATGTTTCAAATATCTTTTTTTTCGTTTGGTAAATCAAGATAAGATAATAAAATAGACAAAAGGCGATCTGCAGTATAGGCTATAACCAATGAATACCTAATGAGATGCATTCAAAAATGTATGATCCAAATTATGAGTAATAACACGACTTCAGACTGCACATCCAAATGACAAGCGTGTATAAAAGTGAAATTTTTATTGGATTAAAATCATTCTAATCTTAGTATCAATCGAATTCAAATCGTTAGAAGCGAAGTAGAGTAAAATGCGTGCCTTCATTGTTTTGTGTCTTGTGGCTGGTGCATTTGCCCAATATAACTATCACGCCGGCAGTGGTTCTGTTGGTGGTGTTGTAGGAGCTGCATCCAATGACGCCCCATTCTTCGATGTTCTTAAAGTTCCCGATAATGGTGCTGGTGTAAGTTCCGGGCCTTCATTTGATGTTTCAGCTCCCCAGTACAACGGTAACCAAGGAAGTTTCAGCTCCACCTCAAATGTTGCTCCCGTCCAGGATGCCGGCATTGAAAAAGAATTCTACACCTTCAGCGCCAATGATGATGATTTCGCTGAACCTGCCACCTCTAATCAATATGCCAATTCCTTGAAAAAAGGTATCCGTGTTATTTTCATTAAGGGCCCCGAACATAATGGTTTGGAAGATGCTGCTCTCGCCTTGGCTAAACATGCTGCTGAACAAAAGACCGCCATCTATGTTCTCAACAAACAAGCCGATCTCTCCAATTTGGCCAACAAATTGAACACTTTGAACAACAATGTCAATCACAAACCCGAAGTTCACTTTGTCAAATACCGCACCTCTGAAGATGCTGCCAATGCCCAAAAGGCCATCCAAGATCAATACAATTCCTTGGGTGGTAGCAGCCAACATTTCAATGGTGGTGTTGCTCCCGCCTTGAACTTTGCTTCTCAAGCTCCAGTTGCTCTGGACGCACCAGCAGTTGCTGCTTCCAGCCCTGCTGCCACCAGCGCTACATACCTTCCCGCTTCGATTTTCCGTCGTTTCCGTTTGTAAATGATGTGTAGAATTTGAAATAGGGTGTGTTGTGAAAGAAGAGTCCGTTTATTGTTATGTATATTTATTATATTTGTTATGAAATGAATGACATTTTTGCGAACTAAATAAAAAGTGTATAGAAAAATAAACATATGCATGTTTCATTTATATTTAGTGGACTACAAACAAAAGAAGCAAAATCTGAATTGTCGCGTATAGACCCAAGTGAAATACAGCAGAATCTATTCCAAATAATCTGTATCAATAGACTGGTAAATGGTAATATTTTTTTTTTTATTTTTTATACCCTTCACCACACTGTGGTACAGGGTATTATGCCCTTGTGCATATGTTTGTAACAGGCAAAAGAAATCGAGATAAACCCATGGTTCCTTTTAAGAATATGCAGAGAATCACTTTCTGAGTCGATTTACGCATGTCCGTCTATGTATTTTTGTGAACAAAGTACAGGTCGCATTTATAATCGGATTTGGATGAAATTTGGCCCAGTTCACTTATTTGTCCCAAGGACGTACCCTATTGAAATTGGAAAAAATCGGTTCAGATTTACATACAGCTTCCATATATAGTTTCGTACGATTTTTTGTGAACGATACATCAAACTCCCAATATTTGTCCGATTGGGACAAAATTTTGCACAGCGCACTGAATCAGGCCCATACTTATGTACGCCAAATTTTGTTGGTATCGGTTCAGATTTAGATATAGTTCCCATATATAGTTTCGTACGATTTTATGTGAATGATGAACCAAACTCCCAATATTTGTCCGATTGAGACAAAATTTTGCACAGTGTACGGAATTAGGTCCAGACTGATGTTTGCGAAGCTTTGTTAAAATCGGTACATATTTAGATATAGCTCCCATATATAGTTTAGTCCGATTTTATGTGAATGATGCACCAAACTCCAATATATGACCGATTGGGACAAAATTTTTCATAAAGTGCTGAATTAGGTCCAGACTGATGTTTGCGAAGTTTTGTTAAAATCGGTTCAGATTTAGATATCGCCCCCATATATAGTTTAGTCCGATTTTTTGTGAATGATGCACCAAACTCCCAGTATTTGTCCGATTGAGACAAAACTTTGCACAGAGTACTGAATTAGGTCCAGACTGATGTCTGCGAAGCTTTGTTAAAATCGGTTCAGATTTAGATATATTTCCCATATATAGTTTCGTCAGATTTTTTGTGAATGATACATCAAACTCCCAATATTTGTCCGATTGAGACAAAACTTTGCACAGAGTACTGAATTAGGTCCAGACTGATGTCTGTGAAGCTTTGTTAAATTCGGTTCAGATTTAGATATCGCCCCCATATATAGTTTCGTCCGATTTTTTGTGAATGATGCACAAAACTCCCAGTATTTGTCCAATTGAAACAAAATTTTGCACAGGGTACTGTATTAGGTTCAGACTGATGTCTGCGAGCTTTGTTAAAATCGGTTCATATTTAGATATCGCTCCCATATATAGTTTCGTCCGATTTTATGTAAATGATACACCAAACTCCCAATATTTGTCCGATTGGGACAAAATTTTTCATAGAGTACTGAATTAGGTCCAGACTGTGTTTGCGAAGTTTTGTTGTGATTTTTTATTTCATTCAGATTTAGATATCGCTCCCATATATAGTTTCGTCCGATGTTTTGTGAATGATACATCAAACTACCAATATTTGTGCGATTTGACAAAATTTTGCACAATAAATGCAATTGAGGAAAAAATTTTATGTGACAAGTTTGTTCGATTTACACGAAATGTGGCAGAGGGTATTAAATGGAATATAGATTGATAACAAGAAACAAATGGTGTATGCAACGGTTGCTTAATTAGGTCCAAGTGTGTTTATACACCAAATAATCCATGTCTTCCCGTTTGAAATGCAATTTTTCATTGATTTTAGAATGGTATGTGTATGGGGTTTTTTCAATTGGTTCAGCTATCTATGAAGATAGCACATTCCATTTCGCCCGATTCCATCTCAATGGTCCTCCAAATATTCTATGTCTGTTCTATCTACAGGATATTGTATATATTAACATATCTTGTTTGTACCCAAAGTGGTGAAGGGTATCATATAGTCGGCCCCGTTCGACTTTTGAACTGTCCTTACTAATTTTTTTTCAATTCGGTTTGTGGTCGAGAAGTAGATATTATTTCACAAAAAAATTATTTCATATGTCCAATGTTTTGTTAATTTATCCCTAGTTCATAACAGAGCCAGACATGTCCAGTGATCGGAAATCATGCCCGCCGTCGACAAGAAGGTATTTTCGTTTATTACAAAACTACATTAAAACAACAAGAACAATTTATATCAATACATTTGCTTATACATTAAGTCTTCAAGGGTTTATATACAAAGTTACAAGTCTTCAATGTGTTATGTTCATTTGCCAGCACCTTAAAAATCATAAAAATCGATCTCCTACTTAAATGAAGAACTGTTGAAATTCAAATTTCTACGTAATGTGAAAATATATTTCCTTTCAATTAGTGCAATTTTTAAAACGGAAATTCATAACTTTGTTGTAATATAATTACAAATTTTCTTTTTTCGTTTTCTTTAACATAAAAATTGCTTTAGTTTTGGCCACCAATGGAAATATTTACTTTTAGCTGGGTTTGCAGTGATGTGGTTAATGTCACACACACACAGAACCGTTACATATTGGTTAATCCTTTAGTAAAACTTTATTGTTGTGATTTTTTATTTTATTTTTAGATTCAAAATTGATACACTAGGCAGACTGTATCAATTAAATAAGTATAGCTGCTCAAACCGCAAGGCAATGATTAACAAATTAATTTTAACAACAGGACTGAGCTTTTTAAAATTAAATAAAACATTAAAAACTAGAACTGGATTTAAAACTCGAATAAGGAATCTTTATATAGGGTTTAAAACGTTCAATAAACTCTTTAGTACAAAAAGTAAAAACGTGGTTAAGATTGGCAAGACCGAACTTTTTATGCCCTCCACCATGAGATGGATATTCAAAATATCTAAATCGTGTCGTACAGGAGAAAACCAGTAAATAAACTTCATAAGTCGGACGGGCCGACTATATGATATGCTTCACAACTTTTGGTACATTCAAGATATCTTCTTATGTATCGGGCGAGTTGTGCACAATTTAATGTCCATCGTACAAACGGGGATTATTTGGTGCACAGTTTGTCTAAAATCTAACAAAAATTTCGATTTCAATTTAAAGAGCTATCCGATATTTCGTGTAAATTAAACAAATATTGGCGAATATATATGTAGGACGAATATATATCCATATAGGAGCTGTAACTTGTCTTGGGGGACATCATTGTTGATGCTTGTCCAGCTTTGAGATAAAATTTTATTTGCCTAGCCAAAGTTCAGCCGATCCCATCTTTTTATAACCTCTACCATAAGTGGACTTCCAATGGGATATCTCATGGCAAATTGCTGCCAGAAGAAAACGAAATGCCGCAGACACTGGGTATACGTAATTGGACTAAAATATTGACAGGCCCTACAACAATACTAATAAAACTTGGTAGGAACCATATGAGAAACCAAAAAACAAATTAAGGCCAATTAGGTAAAAAAACAAAATTACCCAAAATCCCCTGTTTTATGCAATCTACCCTGAAACTTGGGCCAATATTCATAATTTTTGGTACTACTTCGTTGGAAAACGTTCCCAAAGGCAGGAGGATATGCTATCTAATAAGAAACCAAATATATAATTAGGTTAAAATAAAACGTGTCCAATATCCCCAAAATATCAAAAAAATTATGGTTTAACGTCTTATGGGGGCTATAAAATGACGTGGATCAATACATTATATTTATCTATTGTGATTTCAACAAATAGCCATGGTGATAACGATATAGAATATTATTCTTACTTACCTACTTAGCTGGCTTCCATAAGCCGAGCTTGAAAATGATTTCCAAGCGCATCGGTCTTGTGCGCATCTCCTCCAATTTGAAAGACCACGTTCCAAGATGTTGTTTTCTACTTGATCTTTCCATCTGATTCGTGGCCTTCCCCTTCTACGGGAACCATCAGTAGGCTCGCTTTTATATGCCTTTTGAGCTGGGCACTTTCATTCATTGGCACAACATGGCCTAGCCATTGTAGTCGCTGCATCTCAATACGACTGACTATGTCTAAGTACGCGTATAAATTGTAAAGCTCGTGGTTCATTCGACGCCGATATTCACCGTCGACACATATCGGCCGTAGATCTTTCTGAGAATTTTTCTTTATAACACCCCGAGAGTTAACTCATCTGCTTGCGCAAGTACCCATGCTTCAAATCCTGTTGGCCATCATAATCCTTTTCCGAATTTCAAAACTCATGCCATTCGTTTTATTTATGGCGGTACCAAGGTATATAAAATCTTTAACTACCTCGAAGCTGTAGTTTTCAAGTTACACAGTTAGTCCGAGTCTACTGGACGTCTTGCGCGTTGATACCATCAGTTTGGTCTTCTAGCCGTTTACTGCCAGCCCCACTGTGGCAGACTCCTTCTCAATTTGTTCAAAGGTGGCTGATACGGCTCGCAATGTTTAACCCATTCATTATTCGATGTCATCGGCGTAGAGGAGTAACATGTGTTGTTTGTTGTACAGAGTGCCATTTCTGTTCACCTTTGCGTCTCGTATGACCTTTTCCAGCAGGAGGCTAAAAAGATCGCAAACTGTCACCTTGTCTGAATCCTCGTTCGGTATTGAAGGACTCCGATATGTCCTTTCCAACTTTAACTGCTGACCCTGTGCCACTTAAAGTTATCCTGCATTGCCGAATTAATTTTGCAGGAATGCCGAACGCAGACATGGCTTTGGTTTTCTTTTTCTTAGCTTTTTCATAGTAGGTTGGGTTTTCCGAGAGTGGGCAAATAACCCGACGCCTCAACCCATTTTTTATAGTTCTTATGGGTGAACTCGCGGCACATATTAGCTCACTATTTCATCGGGTGATGAGAATTGCTCCCCGGGTGGCAC